CAAAATTCGCGAGCATTTGTTAGGATTCATTCCCGTAGTGGATACTTCTGGTAAAGGCTGAAAAAATTCTTAAAGAACTAGAAGATAATCAAATTCATATTGTAGATATGAGAGGCCAGGGGTACGATAATGGTGCGAACATGAAAGGAAAAAGATTGGGTGTTCAAAGCAGAATATTACAATTAAATCCACGTTCAGTTTTTGTTCCTTGTGCATGTCATTCCCTCAATTTAGTTGTTAACGATGCAGATTCTGCTTCAGGTGAAGTAGCTAGCTTTTCTCTTATCATTTAGCAAATTTATATATTTTTTTCGTCATCTCCTAGTCGGTGGGACATTTTTAAGCAACATGTGAAAGTTACCTTAAAACCAGTTTGTTCTACTAGATGGAAAAGTAGAATTTCTGCTATTATTCCTTTGAGATTTCAACTTGAACATATTTATGATGCTTTATTCAATATCCATTTAGATGAAAATCGGGACAATCAAACGAAACATGAAGCCCAGTCATTAGCAAAAAAAGTTTCTTGTTTTAAATTTATTTGTAGCCTGATTGTGTGATACGACATTTTATCAAAAGTAAATATTGTATCAAAAATAATGCAGTCTCCAAATTTAAATTTATTAAATTGCAATAATGTTTTGAAAGAAGTTTTGGTTTTTTTAAACAATTATTGTCAGGATGAAACCTTTGTAAAAATCGTCGATGAAGCAAAGAAAATAGCCGAAATTCTTATGATTGATAGTAAATTCCCAGATGTTTCAACGATTCGAATTCGTAAAAAGAAAAGCCATTTTGATTACGAATCCAATGACCTGCCTTTTATAGATTCACAACAAAATTATAAAGTCAACTTCTTCTTCTACATTCTGGACACCGCAATTAATTCATTCGATGAAAGATTTGAACAGTTAAAATTACATGTAGAAAACCTCAAATATTATACAATATTTATAAACTAAAATCCGAAAATAGAACAAATATATTAAAAAATTGCATGGACTTACATTTATTATTAGCAGATAATGATAAAAGAGATATTGACGGTTTAGAACTTTGTAAAGAGATTATAAATTTATCTGCAGTGTTACCCTCTCAAATGGAACCTCTAGAAATACTGAACTATTTGTACGAAAATAATGTAACAACAATATTTCCAAATTTGTTTATCTGTCTACGTATTCTGTATCAGTTGTTTCTGGGGAACGCAGTTTCTCGAAATTAAAAATAATAAAAAACTATTTAAGATTGTCAATGAGTCAAGAGAGATTAGTATGTCTAGCTATGATGTCGATTGAAAGCGAAATATGTGATTCGTTAAATTATGAAGGTTTAATTAACAATTTTGCTGAATTAAAAACGAGGCGAGTAAATTTTAAATAAAAATGCTCTTTCAAATAAGAAATTTTTTTTCGCTTTTTGTCCTTAAATCGTTGTTAAAGCTATCAAAATCGATTGAATATGTTACTTGGCTTTCTATTGATCGAATAATTGGAAATGAAATCTCTTCTGATTTTCTGCAAATAATTTATTATTTTTCTCAATTATAATTAGTCAAAATATGGAATATAAAGGATTAAATAAATTATTGGTTTATCTAATCCGCGATTATTATACACATATTATACATATTTTGTTGATTTTGTAAATGTATCCTAATATAAAAATTAAATATAAAAACGATGAATCAAGGGTTTTTATTTTTCTTGTCATTAATGCCAACTCAACGATCTACTCTTGGCGGCCTTTCATTAACGTATGCATTTGCCCAATTTTAGACACTCCGCAGAAAATATTTCAAGAATAGTTGTAGAACTCTCGAAGTTCTACAAATTTTATTAGAAATATTTTTCTGTAAAGTACACTGTTATTCCAAAAATCAAGCAAATACAACCGCGTTAACAGAAGGCTACCTTTATTCTACTTTAAAAAAATTTGAATATGTTGGTCACCTAAAAAATTAATCTACCTATTAAAGGCGCGTTATAAGTATGCCTGCTCCAGGCGCCAAAATACCACCGCACTGCGCTGTATATATATATATATATATATATATATATATATATATATATATATATATTAAAACAAATAAATAAAACTTTCAATTTTTAGATTTTAATTTTGTTTAAGACAAACTTTTATCCTCTGCGGATATCCATCTGAGCTCTCCCAAAAGCTTAAAGATATTCATCTGAGCTTTCAGATAAATTGATCGTCTTCCTACTCTTTACAACTCATTCTTCTCAAAAAAATCTAGTATTGTTTAAAAGCTTAAAGCACTTTAAAATATTTACATTATACTAATATTTTGTAATTGTACTTAATACAAAATTTAAGTCAGATTAATTATATTCAGTTTTATTTATACTTTTTAATTTACGTCAATAGCGTATCAACATAATTTTTTTAAAGTGCTGAGTTTTTCATACTTAAACTGATTTGGAATAATAAATTATGCATATAAAACATATACGACGAAGACTTCAATTGTTATGAAATAAATTTGTTATTTTATGCTATTGATTTTCAAAACACAAGTAAAAAACCTAAGGACACGGTTGGTGTTAATTTATTTTAAAAATAAGTTTAAAAATATCATATTTATGAAGATAATATCAAATGTCGGATTATATTATGAAAGTATATTTAAGGTCTTCATTTAAACTCAAACTTGAATACAATATAAGTACCCACAAGTAAACAACTAGAACTTGGTGTTTTATATTTTTAAAGTGTCAATTTGTTAAATTGACACTTTAAAAATATTTTAAAGTGTCAATTTTACAATATTTAAAAATAATTTTAATAATATATTACCATATTTTAAAAAGACATAAACGGGACAAAAAAAAAAGAATTATCAAAAAAGGTAAAAATAAGGTAAAATCTGTCTAAATTAGTAGGTCGGTGATTCCGAAGGCCCCAAAAATCGGATTAAAAAGGTCAAAAGTATTTTTTTTTTTTCGAAAAAAAGTGAAAACATATTTTCCGAAAAATCGACATGCATACATAAATATTGAACTATCTTCTTGTTGTCAGCCTTTTTTTATAAACTTTTATGATTTGAAGAAATCATTGTTGTAAACGTATTTCACGCTTCAGCATTCAAACTAAGCTATAAATTAAAAACTAATTAAAAAAACTTTTAATTTGATGTTAAAAAACTTAAAAATAGAAGTTTGTAAATGTCGATATTTAATTTAAAAAAAAAAAGAAATACCAGTAACAAAGAATTTTATGTTTATTTTAAAAGCAAAAAAAAAAAAAAAAAAATATATATATATATATATATATATATATATATATATATATATATATATATATATATATATATATATATATATATATATATATATATATATATATATATATATATATAGCCTCTGGTTAATAATTAACAGTTTGAAAATAAATAAAAATGCATAAATAGTATTTTTATCAAATATTTACTACGTTATTGATTTTTCTTTATTGATCTTTATTATTTGTTTGTTTTACTTAGTTTCAATGGAAACTTTGTTTACACTACTCTGGCTAATAAAGTAATTAATGCATCGGTAACAAAAAATTAAAAAATCGTTTTATAATTGCTTTTTTTTTAAAATATAATTTGCTTTAAAACCGAAACAATTTATAGCCTTTATCAACACTTTGTTTCAGTGAAGCCGCTATGCTTGTAGTTAACTATTTTGGTGGGTAAGTCGCAGTAAATATAATGGCTAGTCTTACGACTCTTCAATCCTAAAAGAAGTTCAACGTTTAATTTTAAAATACTCCAACAATTTTCATCTGCTTTGATTCAAAACAATTTTATAAACAAATTACTTAATTTAAAATTTAATAATTTTTTCATATTTTCACAGGATGTTAGAAAGAGAATTCTTAAAAACTGCTTTCTAAAAAAAAAAGAAAGTTCTCAAAACTAAAAGTCTGTGGACTGAATTATATCAAATGCCTACCATATTCCTTATAAAACCGACTGTAAGTTGACAATAGCATTCCTTGGATTGGGCAAGGTGTGTCATACCCCTGTAAAACTACCCCTGGTTAGAAAATTTATAGATTATTGAAGCTCGAACACAAGCTGATATATTTAAATTTGACTCGATAAAACAAAAGCTTTTGATACTGGTGGGTCGAGAAAAAAGCCCAAAATTTTTTAACTCTGGTCCTTACATAAAAGACGTTTTGATTGAACAAAAAAATTTAAATACATATTTAAACTAAAATATTGTAATAATTGTATTAAGAAAAATAGATAGTGTGTGGTTTTAAGGGTGTATACCTAAATGCCGAAAAAATTTAAAAAAACAAAAGCATTATTGACACTACTGTATATGGGTTAATAAATGTAATAGTAATAAAATGACTAAATAGTGTTTCTAGCGGATTTAATTATTTTAAATTGTGATTTGTCTTTAGACAACTGTCTCAACATAAGTAGCACTAAAGAGTTTTATTGCTTATTGAGAGTACATGAACTAACGTAAGCGCTTTATTTGCATTTAAAATTCCTTCAGTTCAAGTATCATTTTTATGAATAAAAAGTTTCCGCATAATTGAAAGCCTATTGAACAAACTTTATCTGCGTTATATATTTGTAAATCAGTTGCTACTGATTTACAAATATAAAACGCAGATATAGTTTGTTGAGAAGGCTTTGAATTATGCGGAATATTTTTGTTAATAAAAACCGAAACTTACAACTAAAGCAATTTTAAAATGCAAATAAATAAAGAACTTACATTTACGTTCGCCCCAATTTTATATCGGATGTTTTAAAAAACGGTAAATAATTTTAAAATAGCGTCACTATTATGTGCATAACTTAAAAGTTGTTACGTTAAGGAGCTCAGGGAATTGATATATTGACGAGATTAAAATATTTTAACCTGATTAAGTGTTGAATATTATCAATACACATGCGTACAATCTAGAATAAGTATTACTGCTAACTTATTTGCCGTACCGACATTTTTTTACTAATCATTTGTGCGAATAATATACGCAAACATGATTTAATGTATTTAATTATTTAAAAGTTAATTTTTGCACAATGGATGACGTCAATTTATTAATGGGAATAAATATAATAAAAGATGCTCTCACCCATATTGTTCTTATAGTATTTCGATCGTTTTGTTTATAAAGTATTATTTATATTTGACTATGACTAAGTATCACTTTTAGACATTTGTTAGACAGATGACCAATATCATTTAAAAGTATACTCAAGTTAAATATGAATGAGGAAAAACTAATTTCGGATTTAAAAATTAAAATGACAGGTAATAAGACGCGGAGATACTCGCAGCCAGATACAAGACGAGTGGTTAGACAGCCTGAAGAGATATTAAGAGATGTTAGAGGTCTAAAACTTCGACAAAGAGTTTCTTTGGTTCTAGGTGACGAATCATTTAAAGAAGAACTCGAAGATTCTATTAGAAAAGCCTCCGCAAACGGAGTATCATCTAGTAGTAACATTCGCTCTTATCAAGATTTTTTACTTCCAGTTTTTCAACCAAGTTTAATAACTATTGGTAGAGGGTATGGGAATGCTGCCACAGTATTACCTATAAATGATATTAGAGGAGAAAATACTGTTAAGTATAGTAAAGTAAATAAATCTCAAAGATGCAAACTTGCTGCAGTGTATCGTCTTATAGATATGTTTGGTTGGTCTGAAGCCATATTTAATCATGTTACAGTATGTTTTTACTCCATAATATATATATATATATATATATATATATATATATATATATATATATATATATATATATATATATATATATATATATATATATATATATAAAAAATAGATTTAATACATAAAAGATGTTTATCTATTGTTTTATTTAGTGTTCTTTCAGAAATTTTAGCTTAAACAAGTTAAACATCCTAATAGTTAGCCATTATTGTATTTTTATTTGCAGTGCTTCTAATTCATGTTTTTAGTTACAAGTGGGTGATAAAAATGAATTTTTAATAAATCCATTTGGTTTGTTGTTCAATGAAATTACTGCATCTTCATTAGTAACGTGTGATCTTAATGGTGATATTATAGACAGTGGAAGTACTGGATTATGTAAGACATTTTACTGTAAAATATTATTTTTTACTATAAAGATTTATATATATATATATATATATATATATATATATATATATATATATATATATATATATATAATATATATATATATATATATATATATATATATATATATATCAGGGATGTGGAGTCCAAAAAGGACTCCAGCTTTATGACTCTACTTTTTCCAAATCTGTAGTGTCCAGAAACTGTAAACATGTTTGTTGACTTATGATCTGCTATAAGTAAAATATTCATGAGTTTTAATGACTTGAAACTTATTGTTTTTAAGCCCATAGTCCTTGCCACCATTATACCTAAGGACTCTGGGTTCAAAAAATGATTGTTCCCCTTACCTAAAAGTCTTAATTTTTTTCTTATTAGTAGTCTATAAACTTATTTATATTTTAGAGCTCCTGGATACCAAAAACTAGGAAGAAGTAATCTTTTTGTGCCTTTCATATCCAGAGTCCATATTGGGACTACACATCCTGATATATATATATATATATATATATATATATATATATATATATATATATATATATATATATATATATATATATATATATATATATATATATATATGTATATATATATATATATATATATATATATATATATATATATATATATATATATATATATATACATATATGATCTTTATGTGTTTGCTGCGTGCATCACTAATATATAGTATTAAATTAGTTGATTAACAATTTAACAAAGTATTTTTTAATAAAATGGTGAATTTCACATATGGGATATTTTAAAAAAAGATTTCAAAGTTGATAAAAGTCCAGTTATTTAAAAAATGAAAAAAAATCTATTTTAAATTTTGTGTTTAATATTTAGCCATGTGTTTAATTAAAAAAAACCTACAACAATTGACTAGAAAAACAGTATTTATAAAAAATCCTAATTAAATCAATACAAATCAAAATTCATTTGTTAATTTATCTTAAACCAATAAATTATTAAGTGTTTTTTTTTTGTTTATTAAGTTTTCAGCAATTTACTATTTAAAATGCATTGTAATCCCAAATAAATATTTCAGAATGATTTAGTCAAGTGGTTGACTTCAGATTTCTGTTGAGAAATAAAACACCAAATTTTAAATAATTTCAAAGCATATTTTTTTTATCAGTGTTCATTCTTGGACAAATATATATTAAAAAACGGAAACAGTTAACATCAGAAAAACAGTCTGTATATTTTAATAAAATATTTTTCAGGTTTTAATCATTTAAAGGTCCTCTTATAAATAAATATATTTTTCAGTTTTTCACATTTTCTGCTTACTAATCAGCACAAATAATTATTTTCTCCCTGGTAGAACAACTGATTTGTTTCTCCATGCAGTAACCTTGTTTATCAGATTTGTGTTTTGTAACTATAGATTTGGGTGTGGGTCGTCACAAGTCTTAGAATTAGGGAGGTAAAAAATAAACAATTACTTAAAACTCAATATTTTTATCTGTGCTTTTCTCCATTGTATCAGCATATCATTGATATAATGGGGAAAAGTTTGATAATTCTTTATAAAATACAAGATAATCTATTCTTCAAACAGCTTAAAACCACATTTAAAATCCAAATTGCTAGTATGATAAAAGAAATATGAACTTCTTTGATTGAGAAATTTTTTTATTATAATTTGTTCTCTTTTTTCTTATTTTTCTGAAAAAAATAAAATTAATTTTGGTGACACTAAATGTTATTTGACATGAGTCAACAGCAATATACATCTCTAGTCTTGAACAATTTCTGATTAAATTTTACCCATTGTAAACTTATTATAAATGGCATATTTTGTGGGGACCTTGTTTTTTAAACTTAATTATTATCTATATTTGCAATTAATAAAATAATATAACATAAAATAATTGTTTGAAAGTCATTTTAATGATTATAATAATCTTTAAATAAATTATTTTTTTAATCTTCAGTGTGTTTATAAATATAAAAACAAACATAAATTTATCAAATAGTTTAAAAAACATTGTGCATAAAATTATAATCTTTTAATTAAATTATAACCATAAAATCAAATTGCATTTGCCAATTGAACTTTTTTAGTTATTAAGTCTAATAATTTGAATAACTCTTTTTAAAAAGTTTATAAAGTTAGGAGATCAGGTCTTAGTACTACTGATGATGATGTTATCAAATTTTTATCCAGTTATTTAATAGAAACAAAACAGGTTTACTACCAGTGGAGTCATGACATGCATTAGAGCAAAAACCAACTAATAATTTCAAATGGCTGCTTTTTAGACACAAGAAATAGTATCAAATGAAATAGTATCAGCATTCATAACCAAAGAAGCAGGCATTGACAAACTTTATGCAATATTTTCTCCAATTTTTTCTCCAAATAGTTAAAAAATGCGATGATAGAAAACCATCAAAATTAATTAGCAGCCATAAAAAAATTATTCATTTGTTAATTTGTGTTTCAATAATTATGTCTCTACTAAAACCAATAATCTGACGATACTATGTAAGCTGGAAGAAAAACATGACTAGATTGATAGGTAAGCTTCTTGTTACCACATCTTTGACATCTTTAAAATTATGAAAGTTGACTAAAGGGCGTTTCCATGTAAAAACATCCAGGGCATGCAATTCTCAGTCTCAGATTTTGCTGATTTTTATACTACTCAAAGATTTTAATAAGTTATGAACATCCCCAAAAATTTATCATCTAGTTCCAACTGATTTCAAAGGTGTAACTATTTTAACTTTACCTTGAACCAACAAAAATTTGCTATTTAAAAAAAGGGTTTAGGCCTTTGTTTTAGTTGTGTGTGTAATAGAAAGCTTACATATTTTGAGGTATGGAATCTAATAAAACAACTTTAAACATTTAAAAATGAACATACTGCATGAAATTTGAACCTTATTACAATTTTATTTGTGTGAGTTAAGTTACAAGAATGATTTTTTTTAGATGTTGTCCTCAATAGTTTAGTTAGCATTGTTACAAAGAATTGGAGATTAATCTTTTCTAAACAGAAAAATAAATTTATTAATTATAAAACTTATAAAAAATCATTAAAAAAAAAAATGTTGGTATTTTCAGAAGTAGGTATTAACTAATTTTTGGAAAAATTTCCCATTTACCCAGAGCTTATTAAAACCTCCTCCCCTTGTTTATATAATTTTACTTATTATGAACAAAGAAACGCGAAACTAAAAAATTTTCAACTATTATTTTTTAAATACCTGAACCAGTGTTAAAAATTATAAAACATAAACTCACTTATAATAAAATAAAATAAAAAATTCCCACCCACATGATTATTAAGACCCCCTCCCCTCACATAATTATTAAGACCCCCTCCCATATTTATTAGATTTGTACAAAAATTCCCACCCATCCTTTTTTCCCACCTGACTCTGTATTAAGCACTTGAGAGAAATGTAACTAAAACAGTTTCGACCAATCATATTATTCTTTTTGTTGTTGTTGACTTGTTGTTTCTGTTTTCTTGGTACTTTTATAAAATCTGATCCTAAATTTCAAAAAATGGTAAAATTTTTCCAGAGGCAATTTGATTTATAAAAAATGAAGATGTATGGCTCAATTTTTTTTCTTTTAGAAGTTGTCTTGAATAATTTAGTTAAAGTTATCACTAAGAATTGGATTGTGATCTTTCCTAAAACAGAAATAAAAAAAATTTACTTATAAAACAAATGTACTTAAATTTATTACTTATAAAACACCTTCATATTTATCAAACTGAGATATATAAACTAGAAGACAAACAAAGAACTATAAAAAAAACACTAATATAGAATATGACCATGGTGCATAAACTTACGAATATCATTTGTAGTAATGTCAGTCTCTGTAGCTATACTTACCCATCAAAGGAATCATACTAGCATGGAAACACTGAAAATAATCATATTGATTTGTAGAGTTTAAATATTTTCGGATTCCATCCCTCAAGATATGCAAGTGTACATATTTTCAGCTTTCCCCTACACAGAAAACAGAAACAAAGGCCAAAACTGTTTTTTAAAATGGCAGATTTTTGGTGGTTCAAGTTAAAATAGTTATCTCTTTGAAACTGTTTGGAAATAGATGATGAGAATTTGGAGATGTTCATAAGTTATTAAAATCTTTGAGTGGTGTAGAAATCAGCAAAATCTGAAACTCAGGGTTGCATTTTATGAAAAAATTGGATGTTTTCACATGGAATTGCCCTAAATTGACAAAGAGCAATTAATATTATCTTTTTATAATGGGAAAAAGCAAGTTTTCTAAAAGATTTTGATAATAAGACAGCGAATCTGTAAAAATAAATTAAATCATGTAGTTTGGTTAATATCTTTTAAATTTTTTATGAGAAAATAATAACTTTCTTTACATTGCATAACATTTGGTCACAAAATTTATAAAAATGTTTGATGTAACATTAACCTGCTTGCTTGTTTAACATTATTTGGTTGCTTGGTAATTTTAATTGTTTTTTTGTTTGTTTGTTAAACTGATTAGGAATATCATATTTTTAAATTTCTATCTAATCTACTACTAAATATTTATCCAACATGGCTAACTTTTTTATGTAAAAATACAAAGTATTTTGTCAATGGGATCAGTTATTAGTAAGCATACAAACTAGATATGTAAAAACTTTAATCTTTTTAGTATTTTTATAATAGTTCACTTCTAAAATGTTTCATGATATTATTACCGTAAAATCTTGATTATAATACACATGCTTGATTTTGCGCGAAATTTCTACGAAAAATTAAAATTCGACTATATTACTTATCAATATTTTATTTAAAAATCGTTAAAATAATTTTAATCCAATAAGTTTCTTAAAATTCCAAATAATTATTTGAAATCAGAAAAATACTCAGCAAACCAAAACTTAACGCAGAAATTAAATATTCTTTGTGAAAATGAGCCTTTTTCTAAAAAAAAAAATTTTTTTTTGAATATTGCATATAATTTACAGTTGAAGTAAATTAAATGC